AGACAGGGTTTCTCTGTGTAGCTTTGCACCTTTCCTGGAACTCACTCTGTAGCCCAGGCTGGCCTAGAACTCACAGAGATCTGCCTGGCTTTGCCTCCCGAGAGCTGGGATTAAAGGCGTGCACCACCACCGCCTGGCCTGACTCCTGGTTTTTACTGATAAGACTAATTAGGTTCATGCTTCAGGGCTTTGTGCACATTTTCTATAGAAAGAATTATCTTGCTGAGACACTTTTGCTTTGCTGGTATATTCTTTTGTGTGACACGGAAAATTATTTGTTTCTAACAGGAAGGATCTCTGAAGGCTTGTTCTTTAAATTTATTAAAATTAATTTTCCTTAATAATAAAAAGTATTATTAGAGTGTGTGAAGTGTGAGGACAGGCGTATGTGTGCCAGGGTGCACAGGTAAGGTCAGAGGACAACTCTGGGTAGTTAGTTTTTGATTTTTTTTTTTTTTTTTGTATTTCCTCAGATTATGTAGCTACAAACTCAAGGAAGAATGAGTAGATATGTTAACCTCAGTTTCTCCACTTTTCCACTTAGACAGATGATCCCATCTCTACCAAATCTCACATGCTAGGCTTCCAGGGGGCTCTTTCATTTCTTGTTTAAAAGTGTTCCTTAATTCAAGCAGTTCAGATGCAGGTTTTTTTTTTTTTTTTTTTTTTTTGTACAAGACCAGACACCCATCTGCATGCCAGTACAGATTTTCTTCTATATTAAAGGTCAGACCCGAAGGATATCTTCTATCATTTCTACATTGCTCTTTCCTTACTGTTCAATTCTTCCCATGGATTCCAACTTCTTTGGTTCCAAGAAGGCATCTTCAGCACAGGTCTAATTAGTAGTCTTCTTTCCCTTGCACCCTGCCAGTGATAATAGCGACACCTGTATGTCATCCACTCTCTCACTTGAACAATTTCCCGCTAAAAGTGCTCATAATAGGCAGAACAGTACCATGCTTTTCTCCCTGTAATTCTCATTACGTGGACACGTTCCTTACAGCAGGCAGTGGAACCCGTTATCTTTCTCTCTCACAGGGCATACCACTGCCATAAGCTCCTTACAGTCTGGTCCCATGGTGCCACTTTGAGAACTGTTGTGTGTTTTCTAGTCCACTTGCGTTTTTACTAGTACACACATACTCTTGCAGTGGACCCCAGTAGAGTGTGCCACCCCACCCCATGAAGAGAAAGACTATCCTAATTAGCTCTAACTGTCCACTTTATAAACTCAACAGTCATCAGACATGAGAGCCTCGATTGAGGAATTGCCTGAATCAAATCGGTGCAGAAGGCACAGCCTTAGTGTGATCACCTTAAGGTGATCCTTAGTTATATAAGCTAGTTTAGCATGATCCTATAACTGAGTCAGAGAGTGAGCAAGCAAGCAAGCTTTCTGCTTAGAGTTCTGCCCTAATTTCCCTCAGTAATAGGCTTTGACTGGGAAGTGTGAGATAAAATCAATCTTGTCCTCCCTTATGTAGCCTTTGGTCAGGGTTTTATCACAGTGACAGAAATAAAGTTCAGTCACCCTGGATTTTTTTCCAAAAGATGCTCCACTTCGATGGCTCTACCTCAGTGGCATGTCTTATCATTTATATCAGACAGCATGAAACTACCACGAAAGCAAAAGAGGCACACTGTCTCCTACCACACGGGAAGGTCTGTATCAGGTGATACTCCACCCTCAAAAGGATCAGCTTCGGGAGTCCATTTTAAATATCATACAGAGCTCATGCAGCTAGTCCTCCCAAAGAGATCTTTGGTTCTGCCTGTCCCTGTATGGGTGGCCTGTTTGTGGTGTATGACATTCTGTGGAGATGTAAACAAATGCTACTCTCCAGATAGGGTGCTAGAACCAGATCAAGGAAACAAGTCCATCAAGCCTGGCTTGGCAAACCAATGAATTACTGAAGGTTACTTATAGGAGTACGGATGACTCAGAGGCTGCTATAACAACAAAAATCCTATCTCAGCATGGGAGATAACAAAAGAAGCTACATCCTTGGGCCCCCTTTCTAATTTATTATCAGTTCCATACATATAAACTTTCTATGTAGCAGCAATTGTTTACTATTCATAACCTGGGAGATGACCCCTGAGCATTTTGAGTCCTGAAGGTTTGACAAGTTTCCTGTTTCATTAGCTTCCTCTCCCAATGTCATTCAGGGCATCCTTGTATCCCCTAGGAGAGAATATTTCAATTCAGAAAATACCTACACAACAGTTCCCAGAACATACTCAATAGATGGGCTAGTATTAAGATAATAGACTGACTTATGTTCAAATCAGGACTATACTAATTAGCCGGAGAACTCAGGCAAGGGACTGATGTGTGCCATATTAACTTCTTCATTGGTAAACTAGGAATAATAACAGAACACATTGATGTTTATTTAGAGTACTCAATAGTTACTTATGAGGTATTTCTGCTTGTCTATGAGAAGCACTACATAGTGTCTGACCATTTATTATCAATGCATTATGGTCCTTTGTTATGAAAAGATGTAGTCCCTATAAAAAGGAACACTTCACAGAAAAAAAGCACCCAATCTTGTAAGCACCTAGTTACAGAACTTCAGAATAAATAGAAAAAAAAATGACAAACTTCTAAGAATGTTAATTCATAATCACAATGGAAGACTACCATGGCTCTACTACAAAATTATTTTAAAAGAAAACAATTTGTACATACCGTTAACATTGAATGTGTTAACGTGCATATACCCTATATCAACATGTAAGAGAATATATATTACTTTCAAAGAACCGTGGATATTATTTGACAAACAGGTTTACCAGTTAGACATGCATTAAGATGGAACTTAACATTGCTTCAAAAACAAACAGCAAATCATGTTGGCTTCAACCAGCAAGGGGTTACTTTTAATCAAAGCATGAATTAAAAAAAAAAAAAGGAATCTAGAACTAATGTACTCAGTCAGAGGTTTTTGAGGAAAATAAATCATTGTTACTGTTCCACTGCTTACGACATCAAGATCAAAACAAGAGAAAACAATTCTCACTCCAGATCATACAGCCATTTGCCAAGAGAAAGTATGAGAGGAATAGAAAATAAATGAGAAGTCAGGCTTTTCCTTCGGCCTCCAAATTTCATGGTGCCAGTCTTGAGGCTTCAAGGAATCCTGGCATATTATTTTAATACACTTGCAGATTTAAAAAAATATTGATTTTGTTGTTGGGCTGACGTGTGTGGATGTCAGAGTCCGTTGTCTACTTTCACTGTCTGGGTTCTGGGGACTGAACTCAGGTGATCAGGTCTGGTGGCAAGCACCTTCACCCAGTGAGCCATCTTGTTGGCCCTAAGCAGGACAAAATGGACACTAGGTACTTGCAGGACAGAAAAGAAGAAAAAAGATCAATATCAAAAAGTCTTATACTCTTGACAAAAATACTATGTTAGCCAGTTCCAGCTTGCATCAAATTCACAATCCACCTTGTCAACCTCCTGAGTGCTAGGATTACTAGTGTGTGCCACCATACCCAGCCCTTCAGAAGAGAAGCTATAAATACAATACACTGAAATTTTGGAAAAGTGAAGGGCTGTTTTTTTGTGGTGGGGTTATACATATAAATATACATGTCTATAAAACAAAGATTGAAAATTAATAAACTGGTAACTGAACCTACAGATACTACCTACTGGTGGAGGTATCCCCACACTCATCCATTTCATTTCCTGTATAAATTATTACAGTCACTCAGCAGACAACTGATGCTGGAGCATCCTGACATGTATTACTTCACTTTCCTAAGGTGTCTCTCTAATTTATGTGCTTAGAAGAATTATTGCCAATTTATTCCTGCATCACAGGAATCCTCAAACACTTGTCAATGCCTCTGATACTCAAGGGGGCTTATCAGAAAGCATTTTCATACCTCTTTAAGAAAGGAAAAGAGTCAAAGATTCCCCACTATCACAGCAGAGCACTTCATTATCTGTGGTCAGTAATGTGAACACTTTGCTATACAGTTTTCTGAATTTTTTTTTGTTTTTCAGTGGTGTGATTTCCCACAAGAAAGACTGTAAGGACTGACATCACTGAAGACCATTATCACATGACCAGCATTCTACTTACCAGTTTTTTTCCAACACATAATCTTTGGGACACATTATAAGTGAACTAAAAAGCTTTATCACACAGGTGTCTTTGCAGAAAGATTTAACAATTTACCAAATGTCATTTCACACTGATTAAAAGGATTAAGGTCTATTGAAAACTTCATTAATTTCATGGCAAGTTTCTCAGAGGGTCCTCAGAGAGCTGTCTCCTGACCCTCAGATATTCTGTAGTTTTCTCCCACACTGTATCAAGGTAAGTCTGTGTTCGACGAATACAATAGAGAAGAAGTGAAAATATACCTTTTGGAGGCCAGGTCATATTTCGTTTTTTAATTGGTTTCTCTTGGAACACTTTGGGGAGGGATTGTTCTTTTGCCATATTATAAAGATATGTAATCATGTGGAGAGGCCTACATGGTGAGTCAGTGAACCAGTAGTAAGTTCCTAGGCATGTGAAAGTGAGGCATCCAAGAAGTGGTTCCTTCAATGACAACTTTAGAAGATGCAGCTCTGTTTGATGTCTTGAATGCAAGCTCATGAGAAGTCCTGAGGAAGAATTACACAACTAAAGTGTTCTCATATCCCTGACCTATAAAGTGTGAGGTATTTGTTTAAAGCCACAAAATTTGGGTGAGTTTATACACCAATAGATAACATGTACACCAGATGTAAATTCTCTCGAGTTATCTTAGATCAACAAAGCTTTCTCTCAGTAATTTCTCATCACAATTCATATCCACCTGTTATGTACTCTTTTGTGCACAGAGAGGTAGGAGTTACTGGTGAAAGATTTTCCACAATGGTTACATCCATAGGGTTTTTGCCCAGTATGAGTCATTAAGTGCTTCTTCACAGCTGAGAGATTATTAAAAGCTTTCCCACAGTGACTGCATTCATAGGGTTTTTCTCCAGTATGTATTCTCTTGTGTACAGTCAGAGAAAAGCTACTGCTGAAGCACTTCCCACACTCACTACATTCATAGGGCTTCTCTCCAGTGTGAGTTCTTAAGTGCTGGGTTAGGTACGAGCTCTTCCTGAAGGTTTTCCCACAATCCTGGCACTCAAAGGGTTTCTCTCCAGTATGAATGCTATTATGTCCAGTGAGAGAGGACCTTGTACTGAAGGCCTTTCCACACTGAGTACATTCATGGTGATTCTCACCCCCTGTGTGAATTCTCTTGTGGCTTTTGAGGTTACAGCTGGTACGAAAAACATGAAAACACTGGTTACATTCATAGGGCTTTTCCCCAGTGTGAATTCTTACGTGAAGTCTGAGGGATGAGGGATCACTAAATGCTTTTCCACAGTGATTGCATTCAAATGGTTTCTCCCCATTATGGATTCTTCTATGAACAGTAAGATAAGATTTACTGCGGAAGGATTTTCCACACTGACTGCAGTCATAGGGTTTTTCTCCAGTATGAATTCTCTTGTGCTGAGTAAGGTTAGATTTCGTGCTGAAGACTTTAAAACATTGGTTGCATTCATTGATTTTCATTCCATGATGATCTCTTTCCTGTTAATTATGACATAAATTTTAACTATAATTTATAATATTAATACTATAACATGCTAAAATAAGATTCCTTCTCCCAGAAAAATCTATGACATTATAAAACAGTTTGGCTCTTTAGTGCTTATATATAACTTCTGCTTAGTTTGAGCTTGTTCAAAGGCACAGCCATTTGGCTATATATCCTTATATTCAAAAACATTTCCTGATAATTTAGGACCACTTATGTTTCAAGCACCCAACACCTGATTCACACTTAATGAATGGAAACTTGTGGGAATTCTCAGGGAAGAAATATGTCTGAAGTTGGCTTAATGTTTTTCTCTATCAAAATATCATCGTTTCACAGTACCTTCCTAGATCCATCACTTCCTCAAGTTTAGATGATACTGTTCATGATGACTCTCTGGGTTTCCTATCTTTTCTAACCTGGGAAAACCAGAACTCATTACCTCCAATTTGACTGTTTTCCCACCATTAGCATCTTCTTTGCTAAAGACATGCTCCTTAGGAGTTAGCCATTTGGCTTTAAGTACAGTCTCCAAATCTGAAACAAATTAAAAAGAAAAATAAGTCAACAGAAGAAAAAAAATGGTGAGGTGCACACATGATTTAAGAAAGACACTGAGAGATCAGAATACTTGGTAAAGACTGGAGAGAAGGGGGAGTTAGATCTGGAAATGTTAGGAGTTAAAGAAAATGTATTCTAGACATATATTGCGATTGATAAGAAATAGACAAAATAAATTATCAGGAATGGAAACTGTGACTTAAAATTTACAATTTCTTTTTTATTTTTAATTGTTTATATGTGCTTGTATATACTGATGTCTGTGGTAAAGAGAGGGGTTGGGTTCCCCTGGAGCTAGAATTATAGGCGGGTAGGAGTTTTCCTATGTGGTTGCTGGAACCTGAACTCTGGTTCTCTGCAAGAACAGTACGTACTCTTAACCTTGGAGCCATGTCTCCAGCCTATGACTTAAAATCTGTAATGCAAAGAACTGCATCTTTGTTTTTCCTTCACAGGCCAAGGCATGAGATGACAAAGGCAGAGTTGAGAGAAAAGTAAAAACAGTGGTAGTTCATATCTATGTTTTTCAGAGGAAAAGAATACCTTACTTTTCACTCCTGCTTCCCAGGCCATAATTGATAGGAATTCCAACCATGCCCCATGGTCGTGCATGCCTGGTGGGACACTTAGTCACATCCGCCTGGTCGCTTCTGGATCATACGTCCTGTGTGACCCAGGCCGCATGTTTGTGGTCACGTAGTCACGTGGATGTGATCTTTGCCCATGGGCCTGCGCGCGCAGATGTGTCCTGGTCTTTATAAGGCAGCGCCATGTCCCCCGGGTCTCTGTCTCTCTGTCTCTGTCTCTCTCTCCCTCTCTGCCTCTCTCTGCCCCTCTCTTTCTGTCAGGCCTGGCTTCTCCCTCCTATCCCCTCTTCTCTCTAATAAAGCCCATTCTAACTCTGGTAACCATGGCTCGTGACTCTTCCGCTGAACAACCAGCACCGTTTTCCTTTCATTGGTGCTGTGGACTCAGATCTCGGATTGGAAGTTCTCTTCACACCCAGCTTCTGGGGCTGAGTGTTGCAGGGAACCCCTGCACTGAGGGCCTCGACTGCCCACCACAGACGCCCACTGTGCTCTTGCGATTGCCGCTGCGGCTCCCGCCGCTGGACCTGCACACCACTCCTGCCGCCACCGCTCCCGCTGTGTCTCCACCACACGTGAGTCCTCCGCTGTTTCCGCAGCTGAGCCTGACCTATATTCTTCACAACCCCTAGGGGTGGTCCTCGGCTGTGTACCACCACACATTCTATCTTGACAAAGTATAGCATGCCGTCCGGCTCTTGGGGGTCCTCTGGGTACATACGCCCCAGCCCTTATTCATAACTAGATGGCCTTTTGGATAACCTGTGCTGACTCATAGATCTTTCTCCTTGCCTCAAGGACACCTGGGATTGGAGTCTGATCCTGGTTTGTTATTTTAATTTTTTATTTTTTTCTCAGCTGCAGCCATGGGACAAAGGGGTGGAAATTTGGCGGATACCAGTAAATCTGGCCGCATAACAGCTTCCGCAGGAAACTTCTGCCAGCGAATGGGCAAATAAAAGAGTTACTTTATCCCCAAAGCTTTCTGCTAAAGCTTTCAACCCTTCTCCCTCCCTATGTTTTCTCTGCCAGGTACAACCATTTCTGTCTAGCTGACTTCCACTTTCCACTCTCCGACAGTGGGTGGGCTTTAGCCCACCTCACCTTAACCCCTGAATGACTGGGCAGGCCCTCTACTGTTGTGGGCCACTTCTGCTGGCTCACTTTAACTCACCTTAACTCCTCCCACTCATTCTCAAGCTGCCATGAGAGGCACAGATGGGTCTGGAAGCTGGCTGAGATCCATGCAAATAAGTTTACAATAGTAAGGATGGCTCTTAAGTCAGAGATCAGTGTATAGCCTGCCTCCTGGCAGATCTTCCAAAAGCTGCCCTCAAGCCAGCAAACATCAAGGAAAAAAAAATTCAAGACACGGAGTAAAATCCACCTCTTATTCTCCAGACCTCCCCGACTAAAACTTAAGTATCTGGAGTGCAAGGCTCCTGACCCCACAGGCAAAAGTGTCATCTGTGGCATTCAAGGTGTGCCAGGGAAGAGATAAAAAGCCCGAGAACAAAATTGCCAAGTGCTGGCACTGGCTGACTCCTGAAAGCTGTTGAGTCCCTGTTTTAAGTGAGGAAAAAGGCCACAGGCTAGCAAGTGCCCTGCCAGGCCATCAACAGCCTTGTTGAAAATGCCACATAGAAAGACAACCAGTCAACCGACTGCCCCCAGGCACCAAGAGGCAGGGGGACAGACAAAAACCTCCAGCAGACCTAGGCTTGGCTACAGGCTTGCAAGGAACCCAGAATGCAGCAGGGAAGTGATCTGTTTCTTTCCTTCTGGACACCAGAGCCACTGACCTGGTCCTGGGAGTTTTGGGATGTCACCACTTCTCGTTTCCCTATTGTCGGCGTAGGGAGGACAGCCTTACCCACTTCACCAGACTTAATTGCACTTTCAGGGTTACTTAATGGGAAAAGATTTCCAGCTAAGATAGGAGCTTCCATATGCCTCATTCCAGACCTACCCACCTATGCTTCTCATGTGCACACAGACAGGGCCCTGATCTTTCCCTTGTCCCTAATTCCAAAGAAATAAGTTCTCATGCACCACAAGCTTTTCTCTTCCCAGTTCCCTGTTCTAACTCACTGCTTAGCTAATGGTACAGGACCAGCACAGAACTGGAGTCCAGAGATCATCAAGTAAGAAACTGTAACAGCTAAAAGGTATTTACACCCTCAGACCCAAAAATGTCTGGGCTCTACAAAACAGACTTTAATATAACCGTCTATTACTGTTAAATGCTCTCAATAATTGGTCACCTGCGTCTCCTGGATGCCAAACTAGTAAAGGAAACAGGTGCTTTAAAATAATTTGTCTCTGATAAAGCTTAACATGTTCCAATCTCTCTGTCTCTCCCATTAATACTAACCAATACAAGCAGAGTACTCAACACCACAAATGGTCACTATTTTTCTCATGGCTGCTTCTTAACATGTTCAAAATTGTTCCCAAGCTCCAGAAACCAGCTTAAATCCATCTGGACAGGTCAGATCTGCTTCAGGCTTTTCCTGTCTCACCAGCATCCTGTCAGATACAAAAGCAGCCAGGGTACCAAGCCAAGATGGATGCACAGCTCCAGAGCTATGGATGACAGACAGCACATCATCCCACAATGCCTATCTACCTCAGACCCTCCCCTCCCTATTCCCCCCAAGTGCCAACCAACACCCACCAAGTCAGCTGGAAGCAGTTTTTGGGAGAAATGAGGCCCCACACTCACTCATCTGCCATCTTTTATAAAAGATAAGAGTCCGGGATGGTAGGAATTCCAACCATGCCCCATGGTCGAGCATGTCCAGCGGGACACTTAGTCATGTCTGCCTAATTATTTCTGGGTCCTGTGTGACACAGGCACCATGGTTACACGGTCATGTAGTCACATGGACGTGACTGTGTGATCTATGCACGTGGGCCTGTGTGCGCAGATGCATCCTGGCCTTTATAAGGCAGTGCCATGTCCCCACCCCACCCCAGGTCTCTCTGCGCCTCTCTGCCAGGGCTGGATCCTCCCCTCCCCCTTCCCTCCATTAAAAGCTCTAAAAGGTACCACTGGGTTCTGTCGTGATTGTGACCTTTCCATGCAGTAACCAGTGCCAGCCACCAGCGCCATCCTTTCAATAGTCACTTCCCAGAAGAGCCCAGACCCACTTCTACTCACCTGGACAGATGCCAGGAATACTTCCTCTCTCCTCTATTATAGCCTTGTCTTCTTGCTCCAACTGGGATATCAGATTTGGTTTATCAAGGTGATGCCCTATTTATGGAGAAAATACATGTAATGTTAGAAAGATTATTCAAGTGCTATGCAACTCCATAAACCTGAAGCCAAACTTTTGAAGATAAAAAAGTGTGACTTTAGCTGCAGTGGAATAATTTTGTCTAAATTCCAAAGAATATAGTAACTTTCATAAGTAACAAATATATAAGTACCTCTACCTAAATTTCAAAGTAATGGGTTATTAATAATCCCAGATATGCATGTCTAAGTTCAAATATACATTTAAAAGTCCCTTAAAGTTTGAACTATAGAGAATATAAAGTCAGGACAAGAGAGAGGGAGAGAGAGAGGGGGAGAGGGAGAGAGAGAGAGAGAGAGAGAGAGAGAGAGAGAGAGAGAGAA